CATTGGTGAATGCCACAAATTCTCCTAAATCACTCGTACGCACAATTTAAGAACAAATCTGTGCGTACGAACGGTTCTTGCATGAGGCCCATTCTGTCTGAAAGCAGGTGGAGATAACAGAATGACGTCTGCTACATGAGTGGAACAATAAATCATGTAAACATTAATTTGTTGTAGGCTGTAGATCTTAAGGATGTAAACGTTATTTTTTGTAAGCTGTAGATCTGAAGGTAAGTTGGAGCAGAGCTCTTATCTGCCTGTTAAACATAGCATTTATGCTAACATGATAACACCAGAAAGCTTTAAAATGGATATTGTTATTCCATTTTAACATAAATAATGTTATTATAAACCAGTGTAGACATGCTTATATTGATCAAAGTATTGTAGATGCTTATTTTTTATCAGTAAATATGATCTGTAGTTTGTACAGTATGTATTATAAGATACAGTCTCGTTTCCTTCATTAAAACAGTAAAAATGTCCCTGCAGCTTCTAAAAATGCTTTGATAAAATGTATAGTCAGTGAAGTAACCAGTCATCAGTTCATTATGGATCAATAATTCCTGAAAGTTGCGGGGAAAGTTAAAATATAGTAGTTTTCAGTGCTCTGTCCGCTCAGACAGACTAACTGCGCTGCTCTGTTTGGAACTATTGGGAGCTGAACCACGTGACCGCGTGTCCGCTGGTTCAAAGAGTGTCGCAGCTCTCTCTATAGGGCTCTGGGTGAATCCAGCAGGTCTGATCTCCTCAGAAAGACGTCTATGCCAGGAGTAAACTCCTGAATAGTAGCTGTAATTTACTAATAATTAATTAGTTATTACAAAAGGACTCAGACCACAGCTGATTCCACAGTTACACTTCCTTGTAGGCTGCTGCACTTTAATTTGTGAAACAACACAACAGGCAAATACATCCTCTGGTATGCCGGGTCCCTTCGTATACAGTATCATATAAATAATGATGGTGGGCCGCCATGACCAAAAATTGCCAGGGCCATTTTTGGTCCCAGTCCAGCCCTGCTGTAGAGGTTATGTTTTCAGTAGCAATGGTTTGTTTATCTTTGCACAAGATTACTCAAAAAGTTGTGGACAGATTTTCATGAAACGAAATTCTCATTAAATTCTGGTGGTGATCTGGCAACATCTGCCATAGTTTTACTGAGATGCCATATTTTGACAGCCAATCAACATCTGGCAGAACTTTGGTCCACTAATCACAGCTAAGCAGCTGCACACTCGTTTGCAAAACCAAGGGTCTTGGCAGAAGTATGCACTCAAGCAATACTGTATTTTTTCAAATGTAAGCTCAAGTCCTCATAATTTTTTATGTAAATTTCAAGTTTATTTTACACATAGGAATAATTTATCTCCTTCCTTTTTTACTCCATGTCATAAGAATCAAAGAGTTGTTTGAGTCATCTTCAGCAGGGATGTTGTCATCAGTGACTTCAACTCTGAGAAACAGGCAAACATCTGGGCATGAGTTTTCTCCCATTCTGAAAGAAAGTTGAAAATAGTTTAAGTTTGAACCCACTCTGTGTTGTAATATATTTTAATGTTTTATCCAGTGTCACCCCTAATAGCTGCAAACACTGGAGCCAAGAAGGTTTTCATATAAAGAAGCAAAAACTGACTGAAAATAAATTCAGAAATTAGAGGTAAAGTTAACTTCACAGAATAGGATCAGTAACATACTACTTTCTTTGAGACGGCCAAGGTTCTCTCCTGGTACCTCCTCATCCGTTCTTTCTGTTTTTCTTCCTGGTCTCTTTGCTTTTCTTCACGCTGCCTGCAAAATCAAATGAGGAACAAAAAAATCATACTATTGAAGGAATTTTTGGGGTTTTATTTAGTGCACTGATTGAAATCACACTACACAGTCTATTTTGTTTTATGATTGAAGTGTAATGACTGAAAATTGTGACTTATAATTAACTGGATGATTCTATTCTTAATAGCTACACGCCTGGCACCATATAACACATATGTGTACTTTTAGAATCATTAGGATAGCTTTGTACTTGTTTGTGGGCATGTCTCTGATCAAAATTATAGGGACCTCCTCCCAACCAATGATGTAATTAAAAGGCGGAGTCATGCCCTGAATCTGGATGTTATATGCTCTTGCCACTTCCTTGTTCAGGCTGATTCCTGGGTGCATTAAACAGGTTATAAGCAGAGTGCTCTGGTTTCTGTATAGTTACTCTCACACTCAGATTATGTCGCACATTCTCTCATGATTTCGCACACATCCTGGTAACGAATGCGTACTAATATCGACTTTCTTTCACTATCCAGGAAATGGTAAATTAAAAGTAAAAAGACGAAGCAACTGTTTTGGAGCTGTAAACACATGGAGCTACAGATTTAGACAGTGTGACTTGAGGTTAGTGTCTTATCGATCCTTCACCCCCTCCTCACTGATGAAAAAGTCAGCTGGAATGTGACGTGAGCGTTCACACTGCAGTCGCTTTGAAAACATCAGATATGAATCCAATTCAGGACCACATACTGGGTCGGATTTGAAAAAATTAAATTTATCATAAAATAATCAGATATGGGTCACATTTGCCTGCAAAGTGAACGTAGCCTTTGATCAGATATAGCAAATCTAAGGTGAATAAAGATTAAATGAGATTTTAATCTTAGGTATAAACAAAAATACAATCTGTTGGACAGGAGCTTGTTTATTTGTTTATACGCAGTGAGTTTACATAAACTTAACTAGTTTAACAGTTCACTTTGGAATCTGGATGAGACTGTGTTAAGATTTGAGCATTTGGTTAGGTTAGTTTTTTTTATTTACTTGTTTGTTTATTACTGCAAGCAAGGAAATAGTTTTATGAAGTTGCATCAGCTATAACCAGGCTTGACTTTGACTTAAATCTTCTGCAGGAGAAAAGAATGCCTTATTCAGACCAGCTGGACTTGTGTGAACTTACGATATCCCACTTTGGTGTGTGGGTCTAAATTAAAAAAGGGTGAATAAATATTCATCAGTAAAAGCGTTGTGTAAAAGATACCCCCACTCCCGCTTGCAACGTGTCTCCCTTCCCTCCTTCCCAGCTGCTCTCCTCCAGTCCTTTTAGTGAATTTCCAATGACCTGTTTAAGGCAAATTGATCGTTTTTTTTTTCATTTTCAGATAACTTGGAAATACATACGGTGGCACAAAAAGCTTGTACTTTTGAAATTATTTAAGCATTCAGTTGTCCACTGTAATTTCACCTCTGCTATATAACAGCAGCGGTGTTTCGCTTTATCTCTTCATATGATCCGTAATTAACCATGACACGGCTGGGAAGAAGTGAGGCTTACGTGTCTTACTGCGCATGCCTGATCAGGAAATCTGTGATCCACCTGATAGGTCTAGTAAGCAAACTGTGAACATGCATTAATCCTAAACCATTTACAGCTGGCTTGAATGAACCACACTGATTAAGCATGGCTTGATGTTAGAGTAATAGATTACAGTTGTTTACAAGTTAAAGGCTTGTTCAAGCTCAGCTTACAGCTGATATCCTGAATTTATAAATTGGACTTTAGCGAAATGAGCCCTTGGATTGGTTAAAGGTAGAAATCACTTTGAATGCAAGATTTAATGACCTTGGATGCCTGCCCCAGGCAGAAAGGTGAGATGTGTGAAAATAGTTGAGAGATGATGTCCATAGAACCTACACTCTAGGGCCCCATTGATGAAATTGAGCCAGAGCCACCAAAGAAAAAGATGGAAAGGATTCAGAGTCAACTTCTCTCTTCTATTTAAGCTGAAATCAACTATCAGTCCTGCTTTCTGCTACCTGACCCCTGCTAGCTTCCACCAGCTAATGCATCTAACATGACTTTGGTAATATTTTTCATGAGTTTGTTTTAGAAACATGCATGTATATTCACAACATTACTTGGTCTGGAAAAGAATAAGCTGTAGTTTACCAGGTTAAACGGTTCCAATTATTTGAGTTAACATTTGGTTGTCCTCTGCCAAGGAGTTTTCTGGGCTGTAAGCAGCCTAATTCCACTGATATGTGGAATTTTGAAATGTGATATGTGGAAAACTTTGCTTGTTGATAAATATAGAAAATCACACAAATAATTCACAGCACTAACGATGTGACATTTTTGTGTATTATTAAGTTATTTTAGATCAAGTTACTGTTTTACTTGCTACAGTCTATATTGACTTGAGAATAGTGTTGCCAACTCAGCCCCTCTGAAAAAAATCATCCTGAACGAGACACTTAAATTTGGATGAAAGTACAGAATATCCCAGCTAATATGAGACAGTTGGCAACCCTATTTGAGAATGTTTATTAGGTGTTTAATATTGTTTTTGTTCACCTGTCAGACCTTCAGTGATCAGAGCAGACCACAAATGTGAGTTATAGATAATAAACTATTATAATATGGTTCATATTCTGTCACCAACACCCACACAGAGTCACATGTACTAGTTTTTTATTTTACTTATTTTTTTGTGTGTAACCCCCTCCATCACCAATTCCCTAGGGGAAAACACTGGTTTTATTCCAATAGAAAAGTACTGATAAGAGAACCGTTAAAATTCCGGATCGATAAGCAATATCGATAAGAGTAGTAGTATTGATAAAACCTTAACGATACCCATCCCATTGTGTAAAGGTAATTTCATAGTAAACTAAATACATTTTTACTGTTAATGTTGTTTTGTCTGTGTATTAAGACTATTTTAAACCGAGCTGTGATGAATTGATCAATCCTAAAAAATTGGTGATAAATAGTAACATTAGGTTACCCCATAAAACAGAAGCTAACTTAATTGGTAGGTTGAAATAATAATAATATAATTCCTGGTCTTCTTATTTGACCAGCTTTATGTTTGGAGAAAAACATACACATTTAAAAATGACCTTTCTAAGTTAGAACAACTCCCCCCTCTGAACAGAAGGGATAGATAAATGGAGACGTCTCAGAGGAGGTATCTGTTGTGCTCACAATTCCATATTGATTGTGATGTACAAAAGAAATGTGGTTGGATTACATCATACACATGATTTGATACATCTGGATTTATTTGTACATAAAATGTTTTCTTGATTTTACCATACACCATGTTTCAGTAAGAAATCCACGCAAGTCTTTGTACATGCGGCCGCTGGGAAAAAAAGGCTGAATAATCCTGTCAAACTGGTGACGTGACCTTTCATCTTTTATCCACAATATCGTCTTGAGCTTTTGCTCTCATTTTCTCCTTTCACTCCACATCATTCTGTTTTATTTTGAAGCAATTATGAGGCATGGTGATGATACATGAGACTGTCGTTGTACATGTTACTGAACAGGTTGTTGCAAGCTTACCAAAGAGTGAGTGAGTGAGTTGATGGCACCAACCTTGCTTAAGGTCCTGTTACACTAGTTTTAGACAACTTATGCAAAACTATGAAATTTTTTAATGTCTGATAAAAGTTATACATTTGATCAGTTTGCCCAGCCATGTATCTCTATAACTCTAAGTAGTGATGACTTCATGAGATTCTTTATAAATAAAATAATTTTAATAAGGAATAAAATTCATGCCAAACTTCCTGCTACTGTCTCTGATTCTCTGTCAGATGAGGCAGTTTTAGTGTCACTAGAACCTGATTCATGTCTGGACAGTTTTTGCCCTGTTGAGCTCTCTGAATTATCTAAAATAGTAGCTTCATCCAAACCATCAACGTCTGCTAGATCCTATCCCAACCCAGAGTTGTAAAGTAACTAAGTACAAATACTTCTTTACTGTACTTAAGTAGAATATTTGGGTATCTGTACTTTACTTGAGTAATTATTTTTCAGCCTACTTTTTACTTCTACTTCTTACATTTTCACACAATTATCTGTACTTTCTACTCACTACATTTTTTAAAAAGGCCAGAAGTAGAAAGTCATTACTTTTATNTGGAGGCAGGGCATAAAAGCCTGAATTTTGCCTGAAACTCTCAGACTGAAGAAGTCTCTTGGAGAAGAGACGAAACGTTTCATTAAAGAAGAACCCATCCAGAAGACCTATACAATTTTTTTTCTTTTTGATTTTTTTACCTGGATTACTGAGATGCATCAGGACATAATCATTCAATAGTTTATAGAAACTCGTAATTACCTAGGAAAACTACAAAATGGTGTTGTGCTTTTAGAATCAGTAAGTAAAGGACCAATAAATTTCTTCACGTCAACTGATTTTACTCAAAATGTCCACAAATCTACTCATTCTCTTCATTAGACTTTTTATCAGGTTCTGACATATGGTACTATAGAGAGTAAGAACTTATTAATACATCCTCACAATCCTGTTCTCTCTGACCATTTTTTAATGGTAGATGACTTGAACTTATACTGCGCCTTATCAAGTCCTTTCAGACTGCAAAGCGCTTCAATCACTCATCCATTCACACACTGGTGGTAGTAAGCTACAATACACCCACAGCTGCCCACTGAAAGAGGCAGGGCTGCCATGCACCGAGCCATTGGACCCTCTGACCACCACCTGCAGGCAAGGAGGGTGAAGTATCTTGCCCAAGGACTCAATAACTGAAATGGATAGAATGGGGGATGGCAACTCACTGGTTACAATACGACTCCCCAAACCACTCTGCCACAGCCACCCATAATAATGTTTGAGCTTACATTAGCTGACTACATAGCCATTGAGAAAACATTTCATTATAGTAAATGTTTATCAGAGAATGCTATAACCAAAGTTCAAGAATCTCTTCTATTGTTATTTTCCTCTGTCTTACAGAGTAATACAACAGAGCGCAACTTAGCTGATCTTGTT